TGGCGCGCGCGCGCGCTCAACCGGCGCGCGCTGCTCGCCGCCGCGCAGGCGGACGTCGACCGCCTCTCGGCCGACCTCGCCGCCGCCCTGGCCCGCGTGTCCGACGCGGAGCACGCCGAGGCCACCGTGAATAAGGGGCTGCTCACCGCGCGCGCAGTTATCACGCAGCGCGACCGCGCCCTGGCAGAGCTCACGTCGTCAAATCAGGAGCTCAAGGGCGAGCACGCAAAGGTCGTCGAGGATAAGAAGCGCGGGGATAAGAGGCTGGTCATACTCAAGACCGTCAGCGCTAACTTGCAGGAGGCTAGGGAGGCGAAGGAGGTGGCAGAGAGGAAGCTGGAGGACGCGCACGCGGCGAATGCTAAATTGAGGACGCAGGCTGCGGCGTTAAAGGAGCAGGTGGAGGCGTTGAAGATGGTCAAGCAGCAGCTGGCTAAGAGAGAGGTGGAGGTGGATGAGTTGGTTAGGGGTAGGGAGGAGATGAGGGTCGAGGCGAAGAAAGGGGCTGTGAGGGCGGCGGGGATTGGCGCAGCTGGGGTTGTGGGTTTGTCTGTCGTGCTCCGTGTCTTAGGAGGGGGAAGGAGAGATAGAGAGGCGTAGGATTTCGTTTAGGACAAGCTGCAGTGTTGCATGTCGATGATCGCGGTTGACGTAGTCCAGGGCCGCATGTCGAATCTTGAGGATCTGTTTGCTTGTAAAAGGGGTTAGTATGTTAAATAGGAATTGATGTATAGATCGATTTTTACTAGAGCTGATGGTCAGCATAAAACCAGTCCCGGCGGCCTTTGGCTTCAGTGACCAGGGGCGTGCCGGGGTTGTAAACTGTGACTCTGCAACGACCACGTGGTTTGTCTGTGCAAGGCAGACAAGTTTTCCATGCAAAAGCGTGTGGACGTCATAAGCTTTTCTTGCCATCGTAGCTACACTGTGATTACTAGCTACAATTGTATGCCCTGTGTCTTCAAGGCGACAGGGGAGATCCAGAGGCGGAATTGTGGGATGTGAGGTGGGTACGGTCAAATTTGAAAAGTGCTGTGCTGTAAATAGAAAACCGTAATGGGCTCGCAGGGTGCATTGCTGGCGGGGGGAAGTGTGAAGAGCTCTTTTTCTTGCCATTACCCGTTGCACACATGTAAAACGTGTACAATCTGGAGAAGTCGCCCTTGGACTTTCGTTCTCTCATCATACAGCGAGTGTCCGACGACCACGCCGCACTCGACAAGAATCAGGATCCTGGGCTTCATTGCCACGCTTCTCAAATCCAGGCCACCTCCGGCCGTGTTGCAACCACCGCCCCGCCAGGATCGCGGAAGCGTCTCCATAATCCACGACGCTCGCGTGCTTTCATGCCAACCCGTCCCACGCCCGTACGATGATGCGTCAGCTGCGTGCGTTTGCGAGCGTGGGCAGCAAGGCCAAGCAGGCTGCGGCGAAGAAAGCCGCGCAGAAGGGCGGCGGGGAAGCCGGCCGCTCCGTCGACTTCAGCGGACAGTCCACGGGGATAGAGAAGCAGCTGACGTCGCTGCTGCGACCCGTGATGCCTCCGCCGAAGAAGTCCGAGGCTGAGCGCGCCGAGCTGCGCGCCAAGATGATCAAGTACGGCAAGCTCAAGCGCGCACAGCACCTCGAGATGGAGATGCGCATGGCCAGCTTTGTCCGCGCAAAGTGGGCCGCGCTTGACGCCATGCCGAATTATAGACGCATCGAGGCTGTCGAGATGAAGCCCAAGGAGTATCCGAGGAATAGGCCCCTTTTCACCGACACACCCCCAATTAAGGGCTTCAATAGTGGAGACATTACAAAGCCGACTTAGGGCAATGCGTGCGCTTCGCATTTTTAACTTAACTTGTTTACGCCTCTCTTCTAAGAGACGAGGCGATTTACCACGCGACCGCCGCCTAGAACGCCCTAAATTGCCTCCAAGGTGCATGTCTTAAAAGCGAACAAAACGTACTAGTCTTTCGATCCATCTTGCACCTACGCGCCTCAAAACCACCGGGTACAGCGCTGCTCGCTTTTCCCGGCGCAAAAATGGCCGATCCATCGCACGCAACCGATCTCCACGCAAAAAAAAAAAACGTCCGTCACAATCACGCGTCCTGAAACCTCTCCTCTCCCACCTCTTTTGCGCTCAACGAGCTAAGTTTCTCCAACAGCTCCTGGACAACGCCATCCTTAGTTGCGCCATCCATGTTCGGATTCGCCTCCACACTCCTCGCGCACGCGGCGACGAACGGCGTAGCCCAATGCCCCTCGGGCAGGTTGCCGACAATTTTCTGATAATCCCTCCACGCGAACGGGCGCTCCACGGTCCCGTCGCGGACGGGCTCAGTCTCCATCATCTGGAACGCCTCGAGCGCGTCCTTCCTCTCCGCGGAGTCGAACCAATCGCGGATGGACTTTCGGGGCTGCCGGTGCCGGCCGCCGCCAATCGGGAGGTCCTTCCT